TTTTGCCAGAACACCGACTGTGATCCCGCTCACGTCTATAAACAGGAGAGTCCGAATAGCATGGTGCAGGCAGCATAGTAGTATAGTGGAGTACGGAGCAATGGGCGACCGTTCTGCTCACCGACGAGTTCCGGTTTAGCCTATAAAAACCGATTCTCGCCGTACTTTTATATGGAGAGAGCCAGGGACCCTCTACCTACCCTCCAATGTCCGAGAAATCAACAATTATGGCGGTGGCAGTGTAATGGTCTGGGCAGGCATCATGTTGGATGGCCGCATACCTCTCCACGTCTTTGACAGAGGCTCTGTGACTGGTGTGACGTATAGGGATGACGTCTTGGAGCCCTATGTTCGCCTTTTCCGGGGTGCAGTGGGCCCCGAGTTCATCTTACAGAACGGTAATGCGTGGCCACATACAGCTCTTCTGGTCGACGAATTTATCGAGAGTGAGGCTATTCGCCGGATGGCTTGGCCAGCCAGGTCCCCAAACCTCAACCCTATAGAGCAGGTCTGGGATGCTCTGGGGAGGGGAATTGCAACTCGCAACACCCGCTCGAGAACCATCCAGAAACTGAAAACATCGTTTCTGAATGAGTGGGACCAATTGCCACAGGCACTGATAAACTGCCTTATTTTTAGTATGAAATCACGCTGCATCACTTGTTTGTATTATATCAACCTATGTTCACACCAAATTTATTAAAATCTGTCAAGTAGTTCTGGAGATCATAGATCAAATATGCAAATTCTCTTAATTTATTTCACCAGTGTATAATCTATGGCCATACTGTAAAATAGGAAGGGGGGACTAACACAACATTTCTCGCCGTCCAGTGTCACGGATGAATTCGATTTGAAGCTTCGTGAATTGCATCCAAAATCTGATCCATGAGTTTCGTCTATTCGCCCCGACATATTGTTTAATTATTGTCATATCGTTGTCAAAACTATTACTTACTTCCACATGTTATGTATCTCATAGTTACCTGAGATTTTAATTAATTCATTCATTTTAATGTACTTGTATTTGCAAAATAAATCGAATTCTATTAACAGCTTTATTAAAAGGTGCATCTAACGTGCATGCTTCTTTCTTCTTGTACTTTATGTTTTAATAAATACGTTATTTTTAATCAGCCTCTTTTGGTTTTTTTTAAAATGCTTGGATGCTGGCCAACGGAATAAAAAGGATAATCATTTTAAAAAAGAACGGAATAAAAAGGATCTATCACTTTGAAATTTTATAGGGTTCTAATGCTTTCTTGCTGTAATTGGAAAGACGTCCCGCTAGCACTGGAAGTCATAAAGCTCAAATCCCACCTTGCACTCATTTCTTCAGATCCTTGGCTCAAAAATGTCAAAATCCTTCTACAGTGGCGATCGAGCTGAAACATAGTGGATAATAATGCGTCACTATCCTCGTTTGGCTACTGGATTTCCTTTTTCTTTAAGTGGGAGGGTATGTAAGGCATTTTCCCTTCCTTAACGTATGTCTTCTACGCATACGGAAGCACTGTACGGTAGGCAATCGGAAGGACTGGAGCTCCACGAAGGCAATGTGGATTTCTTTAGATTCTGGATTCTTCTGCTTTAAAATATCAGAATTGAAAATAAAATCATACATATCACTTGTTCTGAGGGAAGACTAGCCATATGTATACATTTCTTGTTATATGTTCATTGAAGATTCTATTTTCTGGAAATTTCTTTCCTACCTCATGAAGGATGATTCTCTCTCGTTGAAAAGACAACTATTTAAACCTTTCAAGCGCTTATCAAGAAGTTTAAAATGTAACATGTTTCATATCCAGTTGAAAGTTAACTTTCTTCTGTGTCCTGCATTTCGGTGAGTTCTCGAAGTCCAAGTTCAGGGAAATTTTCTTTGAAGCGATTTTCGAAACGAAAACTAAAACTGGAAGAAAGGACTTTTTCCACTTCCCGGTATTAGAAAAATTACAAAACGTGAGAAGGTTAAGTAAAAATAACATAAGTCCTTCTTAGAAGCTATAAAAGGATTTTTTGGGAACATATACTGACCTTAAACTAGAAGGTTTTCTAAAAAATATGCTAATAAACTTAAAAAATTTGGATATTTCAAATTATTTCCTGTATTCCCATTAAGTATCTTTTCCTTCAAACTGTGAGTCTGTAAGGCAAAAACTGAATGAAAGATTTCGCAAAAACATTAAAAAATTGGTCGCAGATCATAACAGAGATGCAATATAACATCAAAACGATTGTAAATTAATTTACACGGTACTTTGAAAAGATCTTCCTTCAAACGTCCAAAATTAAAAAGGTTTAAAAAAGACTTGAAAGGAAAGCAACGGCATGATATTAGCTTTTAAATGTCAGAAAGCATTTTGAATGTCTCGTTTATTTCTACGTTTGTAAATAAAACTCTTTGAATGTCTCATAAAATAATTTTGCTCTTAAAATAAAAACATACTTTGCATGTTAAAGAAAAATAGTGCTTTTTTCTAATTCAGTGCATCAAATAAAATAAAAATTAACTTTAAAGACTTGAGATATTTTTAATGTTTCGAGCTTTACATGTCTGTGTCATTACATTTTTACATTAACGAATAATATATTTTCCGTTTTATCTGTTTTTATATATTCCATTCAGTTTATTACTACGGACAAACTGAAAGCGAAGTTATATTTCAGGAAGAGATTCAAGAATTACGCTAATGTTTCATTTTGTTTAACTCTGATTTAATTAGAATTTTACTTCTTTAAATGTGCTAGAATAGTTTTCGTATAACATTTTTAGAAAGAGTCTTAACAGATAGTACTGATTTGTTCATATTTTCTGCTGGCTAATTGCATGATTTATTTCTATAAATGATTCCACTGCCATACATTTTATCATATAAAGACTTGGATGTTAATAATTACTTTTTAATAAATTGAAGGATCTTATATAGAAGCATTCGTAAACAATTTATATTTGAAAATAAAAATTCTTTAAGAAAGTAGAACTGCTACAAATTTGATCTTAAAGAGCGACCCGTATTTTCTGTTTGCAAATATGAGAAACAGCAGTTTTAGTTAGTTGAAATATTAACAAAGACTTCAAAGTGAAACCAATGTGAACTTCTTTGTCTTTGTAACATAGTTTTATTGTAAATTGTAAAATTTATATAAAACTTATTAGGAATTCTTATCTGTGCTATATTACATTTTATTCAAAACTTTGTAATTTTTAAACAGAAACACAGTATAATACCAGTTATCCGATATAAACGGGAATGAATTCTTCGAATTAGATTCCACTTCATATCAGGTAATTAGCTCTATCATTATTATTGAATATTCGAATGGTTGTGATCTTTGATAAATGGTTATCGGACACTATTTACTAATACATTCCTCTTGTACAAAACCTCTACACAACGCTATATTACAAAATTGGTGCAATAAAATATAGACATATTTAATGCTTATTTAAATTAATGTATTGAAATCAATCGTTTTCCACCTAAAATATTAGCATTGATAAAATATAATCAAAGATGGGAAGAATTCTAAATTTTCTTAAATCCGAATCTTCAAAACTTCTCATATCTCTAGAGTCTCGAATCGCTAGAAACATTCTTATAGAGATAAGAAGAAGAAACATTTAAAATCCTGAAATTTTTCAGGTTTTTATTAGTCGCGCGAAAGGGCTTTTTAAAGTTTAATATGATTTATCCGTAGGGATTATAAATAGATATGATTCAGGTAGAATAGCGAAACATTTTATTGGATATGAGATGAATGTGCATTTAGACTAACGTCGAACAGTTATCTGAAATCAGAACAGTCACATTTTATTTTTTATAAGTCCTTATACTGAACGTTAATGAAACTAATCTTCTCAAGTTTATAAATAAGGTTTTTATGGGATTTTAGGCTAGGATTCGAAAGATTCGAATAACGAAAAATGCACCTCGAAAGTGCTTTTTATACGATTCGCGAGATTTCAGAATTCGATATTCTGTTCCTGTCATGATCCCTATTTTGATGCTGAATGCACTGTACAAAACTATACAACAGGTAAGCAACGCACTGAGATGAATGTTGAAGGACATGAAAATATGCACTCCATCAAGCGCAACAACTTAATACTTTGAAATCAGTTACAGATTATTTAATTGCTCTAATAAGATAGTTTTGTGGTTTCTTTATTAGTATTAATCTTTTAGTTTATAAGATCCCGGTGAAAAATTAGTCCAAAGTCCTTTAGACCCTATTACACTGCAAAGCGTATTGTCTCTCCGCTGAAGTACTATGAAAAATTCCTACATGAGTTTAAATAGTAAAAATCTTACCTAAGTATAAATAACCTTCTAATCAACTCTTTAAATGAATATAAACACAATTTGTGTTTCAATAAAGTCCTCCACTTGCAGGTGTATAAAATAACAAAGCTGATATTTCAAATTTAAGGTATCATAGTCGGAGTTTACACACATTTGGCTTGCATTAGCCTGTCTCAATATTTTAAATGGCGCGTATTAATGTCGACTAACAGGATGGTTAAATCTGGAATACATTGCTAGATCTTCTAGATAGAACATAAACTGCGTCGCTGCCAGGAGCGCTGTGTCTAAAATCTTAAATAACTTTGAATTTCAATTTGCATCCTTGTGAAATCAACTTTGCATCCTCGATTTAAATAATTTTCGATCTAATTTGCATCCTGCTGAGGGTTATGGAAATCAGAATTTATAGTAAAGTTTTAAATCATAATAATTATTTGGTTAATATTAAATATCCTATAAGTTGCACTTAATATTCTCAGCAATATAGCTGAGATGAAACAGGGTACAATAATGCCCATATTGGCATTATTGTATCCTGTACTTTTAACTGTACTATACGTATAATATCAATATTGTATCAGTAACGACAGTAATAAAACTAATTTCTAACATGCACTATATTTTTCCTTTTACTTCTTATAAAACAGGATATCGGATGATCATGATTTTGCTTCCTTTTTCTCTCTCTAGAGGCCAAGCAATTGCCAAAAGATTTTCTAGAAGCTCTATCCATGCTGAAAACTACGCAACAAATTACAGAACTTTTGAAGAAGCTGAGAAGCTCAAGAACAGACGACGTAAAAGATGTGGAACGATTCTTCGTCCCTTCAGTTTCAGTTGTTGATAACTACGGATCTCCAGCAGACAGTTTCATTCTTTCCTGTAGTTACGGTCCGGAGCGTTGCGAGTTCGTACCAAAGTTGTTATTAATACACTATTTACACAAAAATACACATATTTCCTGTTCGAAATAACAATAACAATTTTGATTTGGAATAATTTTTCCCAAACTGTGAAATCAAAAGTAAATATATTTTCACCTAAAAAATTGCTGTTTGAAAAACGTTAATACGAAGGGCAAACATAGCATTATTCTTTGGGATACGAAATTTCTGACAGTTAAAATTATATGTTAATTATAATGCGAATTTGCAGTAAAAGTTAAATTAAACTTTAGTTAGAAAGGGGAAGTATTTAGCACTTTGTTTCTTGCTTACTTTCCCACCAGTGATTCACGATGTATACTGCACTTAAAGTTTGTCTTTCTTGTAAACCATTTGCACAAGCATCATGGATTTTTGAATTTCAAATGGATCCTGTGTGTAATATATTTCCATCAGTTCATGTTTATACAGTTAAAAATACCCGTTAAAAATGTAAGAGCAAGTAGACGGCAACCAAATAAGCAGATTTTCTAAAAAAATACTTATGCGGAATTGGCTCGCCTATATGTTACATTATGTTGTTACGATACAGTAATATGTTACAATATTTGCCATTCCTAGAGCGAATTTTGAACGCATACATCACTACACAAAAATGGAGCTCACCGATAGGAATTTTTTCAATGGAGCTGCGCAGAGAAATGAAGTTTGGAAACAAAAGGAAGTCAAAAATCATTCTCTGTATTCCCCCCCTTTGAGTTAGATGCCCCATTTTAACCTCAGCCTCTAGGCAAAATGCATGTTATCGAGCTGCATGTTCATGTGGTGATGCATACCGCTCGAAGCTCGAAATTCGTGATGAAAGAAATGACAAGTAATACCAGTAGTTGCGGTTTTGAACACGCTACAAGATTGTGATTAAGCTATTGACATCTCTGTGGGCTGGTAACAGGGGAACGCAATGCTCATGCAAGGAGAGCTATATTGCTAGACACTCGACATTAAGGCAAGTGATTCTACGGAAAATGAAACCGCTAGAAATTCGCATCAGAATTCGAAATATAGAAAATTATTTATGAATAACTGAACAAATGTATCAAGGTCAGAATTATAAGTTTGGAGCATTATGAATAAATATAGCTTCTTGAATATAAGAAGAACTGTAGATTGCTATAAATGAATGGGTGTAAATTGCTGCTTATGAAAAGTAAGAAATAGCCTGAAAATAAATTCTGAACTTCTTTTGGGGCAAAAAATTAATACACTACCTTCTCTTATTTTGGGGGAATCACGGTACGTGCAGTTTTCCAATTCAGACGTTTTTTTATAACCCAAACAGATTTCATTGCATGCTTTGCTGTAATAACAATATAAATAAAACTGTCAGTATGCTAACACACTTAGTTTATACGCTTAGTATGCTTAATTCGAGAATTTTCTGTTAAAAACTATGAAAAGGAGAGGGAATAGAACAACTCCCTAAGATCTAATTCCAAACTTCCTCTTATGGAATTTTTTTTCAGTTTCAATTATAATAAAATATAAAACACTGCAATGAATATTTGCGTTGTTAATACTAAACGTATTGGAAGCCTAAAAATTTCACTAAGAAATTAAAATAAATAATTAAAGAGGCTTTACTAATTTAATTCAAATTCAATTTAATTCAACTCAATCAAAATTAAGTGTTTCTAATTTTTGTTACATTAGAAATTAAAACACAAGGTTCAATCGACAATCAGTTCAAATAGAAATGAATGCTTATAGGGTTTTGCTGTAGGTCGGAGTTAAATCAATCTAAAATCTTAACATACAAAAAGCGAATTATCGCTGTGTCTGAAATTAACTACAAAGGCTTAAAAATGTTTTAAATAAGCAATTTTATTTTAATGTAAACTTTGAACATAACTGCACGCTCTTGTGCTAACCAATCCAACTACAACTCCTGACGATGCAAATAAAAAAACAATTAAATTCCAGTTTAAAATGTAGGCTAGTAGTCAAAGACTACATAATTAAGTTTTAAGTTAAGCTGGCTCAAAACTAACCGGCGTATCAAATTTAAATGTCAGTAGCAATAACGCAAACCCGAATAAATATACTCATAACTTAAGAGAGCTGGCAGAACTAACGTAATGTACAACAAAAGGAAGAAGAAGCAGCTCTATCTTACAATATCAAAGTCTCAGCTTAAACACTCTCTAAATAATTTATATTCTGGTGAGAAAACTGACAGAATATGCTACAGTTAATCCTCAAGTTATAAAATAACTGGTTAATTAAATAGTAGTAACTGTACGAGTTCTAACCTTGTTCTTAATCTGATGAGCTTCTTAGACAGTAATTGAAGATTATTTTAGATATTAATCATTTATTGGCTCGATATAATGAAGGACAACAATACATCTTAGCTACACTAACATTAAAATTATATATATAAGGTATCAGCGTCAACTATAGGCTAGAATTCCCCACAAAACCTTTCTTTAGCATTATAATATGATTAATTTAATAAGACGAAACTACCTTTGTTTTGAAAAGACTGATAATTGAAGATTTTTTCTTGAATTTCAGTAATTAAAAAAAATCGAAATTAATCTTACAAAAATTTTCATGGAAATTAATCATTGAATAACTAGTTTTCGGACTTTTCTATTTATATCTGTTAACACAAAATTTAATTTCAAAGCATTGAAAGCATTTTTGTGCAAGTTTTCAGCGATTAATGAAGAAACTATCCTTTTGTAGAAGAATCCGGGACCAGTAATATATTATTTAATTTAAAAAAAATAATTATGGCTTTAATTAACCTGTATGTCTTAATTTTTTTTGTTTTTATCCCATGGTTGAGAAGCGTTCAGTCAGAAATATCAAATCACAGGTTGCAATCCTAAGTTTGTCTGAAGTACTAGTTATGAAAATACTTTCTTGGTACTTTTAATAACAGAAAACAATATTCACCACTTAATAGATTGCTAATTACTCATTTCAGAAGCACTTCATATAATTAGGTTTTCCTCTTTAAAAGGCAATAACTAGCTACATAATTTAACGATTCAGTTTTTATTTATGATTATCATTATTATTATTGTTATTATTATTATTATTGAAAAAAAAGTCCGATGTGGACAACAGATAACTTCGTTGTACGACCTATTAAACTTCGCACATATTTTGCTGCACTTCATTTTACCTATGTTCTCGAATTTCATTAGAGATATACTCTCATTCAATCAGTTCCGTTCTCACCTCGCGGCTAGCCAAAAATACATAAAAACTCAAAATATTTTCATTAAAAATCGTAAAATAAAAAACATGTAGCTAAAAACAGTTTAAAAGAAAATTTTTAGAATTCAAATCAAAGTTTGTACGCTAAAGCGATAAGCAACGGAGGACGTGGGCACTGTCCCTTTACCAAAAGTTTAATCGGTATAGCACCACGTCCACCTATATCTAGAGCCTAAAGAGGTTTGTACGCTAAAACAGGCAATTCGGCCAACCGGCAAAAAGGCCAAATTTCCGGTGCGCGAAATTGAAACTTAAACTTTGGTAAAAAAAACTTTGGTGCGCGAAATTGAAACTCACTGTACGAAACGGCGCGGAAGCTGGTGCACCAACTGACTTAATTGGCTATCCAGCTGTTTCAAATGTAAACAAACGGCCGTCTCATTAGTCTTAGCACCATAAATTGCTGATAATTCTACAATTATTGCATGCAGAAACTGAATCCAAAACCTTTAACTGGAACATACAAACAACACAATTCAATCACTTTTAAACCATTTTTAAATTTTTAAAGCAATTTACCAACATATGAGAATAAAAATACTGAGCTCACCGAGACGGATGACAGGGTGGGAATCTCTCTCTCTGCTCTTATATATATTTATACATTTAGATATACGTTTGGTGCGCTCGATTGCTACGTAAAGGGGAGATGCACATCTGGATCTTATAGTAGTTCTAGGTACAAAATTTCAACATTCTACGGCGAATCGTTTCGGAGTTATGCGAAATACATACGTAAGTACAGACGTAACGAAAAGCATTTCTTCTGAAGCCATTTTACAATTCGTTTTGGAAGAGACCCATTTATTCTGTCCGTACGTAAGAAATCATTCAAATGGATTTCAGATATTTTGGTTTAAATATGCTACCCGAAACCTTTCGCAAATACAGGACTTCGTTTACGCACTACATGGAAGTAAAAGATTTTCCTCTTGCACCACAAAGTATTAAACGATACTTACGAAATGTAAGTGATGGGAAACAAATTAGCTTTAAATAATACAAATAAATAAAACGCATATTATTAAAAAATACAAAGAAAATCATTTACAAAATTTAAAATAGAAGTCAATATTATCATTAAAAGCAAGGTAGGCCGAAGGCCGAGAAACAAATGCAGGAAATTTCGATGGCCAATTAATTTCAATTTAAATTCAAATGAATTTCTTGCATAACTAAGGAAAGGGCAATCAAAAAGTTGAAGACGCTTTTCTCAAGGCCGAAATCACAATAGCACAAACTGGAAGATCCAACTTAAACAATTCAAGATAAATATTTCAGTTTATCATTAAATATTTTATTAAAATACTTATCTTAGAGGTAAATAACATTAATTTCTTAAACACATGCAAAGGAGAGTAAATTGTACTGAAAAGTCTTTTAGTATTAACATTAAAAATTAAGTTGCAAATTTTCAAACATTGCATGTAAGACAGGGTATTTAATTTTTAAAGTTTGAGTACATTAATTGAATTTATTTTATAATACTTGACCTTTACCTTTTAATAGTAGTTTAACACTTAATTAAATTAAACACTTTTGTGTTAGTTTGAGATCTGAAGATTATCTTAAGGCGAAATTTTGTATTTTCAGGGAGAAATAATTCCCTTTGTTCAATTGATATGTTTAAAGACAACTATAATATACATCATAATATACTTCATATGTCTAGTCCTTAAAATTATACAATGAAAGGTATACGAAAGTGTTTTTACTTATCATATTTTACTTATTAGAGTAAATAAAAAAATTATTTATATTTTCTTTGATTTCAGGCATTTACTGACTTTATACAGCCCTACGTATGGCAAATGTTACATGTTCAATTACGTAGGTAAAGAAAATGAGAAAAAGCCCGAGGTAAAAGTTGCTAAACAAGCTGGAAGAGAACATGGTATGCATTTTTTCATTTTTTCATTTCCTTACACTCAAAGGCTTATCAAAAAAATAGTCATTGTATTCGACATCAATTTAGTGTATGATTCGCAAAATCAAGTCTTGATTTATATCAAAGATAATATTGATTTATATCAAAGATCATAATTACATCTCGGTAGTTAACTTTTTTAGCAAAGAGTTTTATTATTTTTAGAATTCAGTACTAACAATTCTTTTCACTGCCTTTTGAAACAGCTTTCTGTGCTCATGTATACATTTCAAATATTATTTTCTAATCTCATAAAGTATTTTGCGTTATTCCTGTATAATTATATTTTTAGAAGAACATTTTAGTTTCCAAAATAAAATAAGTGTTTACAGCTGAAATACGAACAAGCAAAACTAAAAACGATTTCTAAAAAAGGGATTTATATATTAGAAATTCCTTAAAATTTTATCATTTAAAAAATATGAAATCTTTATAGAGGTACGAATGATGTAGAACCCTCGTCTTCAGGAGCAAAAGGTTGCTTATTTATGCATTTACCTGTTTAATTGGCTATTCGTTTCGCTTTCATTGGGTTTGTTCTGTGTCAATCGCCCTTGAAATCGATAGAATTTTAAGTAATATCTTTGTAATTCTAACATTGTTCTGTTATCTAATTTTACGAGCAGTAAATGAAATTCACCTATAGAACTGTAAATACGAGTATTAATACATATTAGAGCATTAATACATACTAGAAAGTACCATTTCTCTGCAGAGTACATAATTAAAAACTAATGTTTCAGATATTGATTAGTTTATTATTGTATTTTTAATTTTTGAAAGCATTTTAACCTTTTAAAACGTGAGCATGAACGGAACCTAACCTTTATCATAAAAGTAGTGCTTTACTCTATCTCATGGATTATCCCTGTATCTCATGTATAGCTACGTGTTTTAACTCCGGAGATTAATCGAACAACACTGAAAAAGTGCCTAACAGCTTCTAGATCTTTCTTTTTTTTTTTTCGGACAGCAGGTTTTGCAGGTCCAGAGTTGCGGGTTCCATCTTATTTTCTAGCATTCCTCTCATCTTAAACCGCAACCGTCTTTGAGTTAAATTCGCGTTCCAAAAGGTCCAAAACCACAATAACATTCGCCTGCAAATTACTGACCTGAAGCAAAACGAGATGCATTTCATTCTAAATTTGTGCACTTAATGTCACATTGCCTTTGCACTCACAATACAGACCCTGCGCCATTGTGAGTTTCGTCCCTACAACTTCATGCAATCTGTACATCCTAAAACATATCCTATAAAATTTCTACGCCAAATCCTTCTGTGTGGCTCACCAGCGGCCGAGTAGTAAAAACTACTGAAAACTGCTAGTTTTTCCAGGGTTCTAGTCTCGGCGAAGGGGCTGGCTCTATGGGCGTTTTCGTGGTGATGTACCCCATGTGTAACAAGGATACGAGCAGGTTTTCCCATAAATAGGGCCCCCGAGGGCATTTTCCCCTTTCCATGCACTGGCTAATGACGGAATATGTAATAAAATAAAAATAAAATCCTACTCTGAGCCCCTGTATCCAATAACCCTTCTATTGGTATGCCGTTCAAAAATGCTTCTATATTAGGCAACTCTACATTTTTAACAGCACTGCGCCCAGCTACATTTCAGAGACCTTTTTATAATCCTGGGATAAATAATCTCAGCAACTCTTTCGTCCTGTTTTTAAGGCCAGCTTTTCTCTTTCCAAAAATTTCCTTCTTACACCAACCTGTTCAGCCACTTCGCTTTATTAGACCAGTCACTTTGTTTGTATTTATTCCCAGTTTTATCTCTGAAACTCCGACACTTCTGTCAAATCTATTACCGTAGCTACTAATGAATCTATTACCATATTCTCGCGTGCAGATATTTTCGACCGGCCTAGAGAGTTTGTATTTCACAGGTAAATGGAATAATTCAGAATACCGGCATTTCTCAATTCGACGAAGTCTTATAATTGCGATTGAAAACTCCATTATTACCTACATGATATCAGATTCTTGCTTTCGTCCGTACGATTACTTTATTATTTCAACTTTCCGCAGTACAAACGCCATCAATTATTCACTCACGACAAGATAGTCTTTAAATAACTCCAACTTTATTCGATCCATATCACTTGCTATAAAATTAGTTGAACAGTTTAAAAATATCAAACGTGTTCGACTCGTTGCCAGGTTTATTTAGAAAACCTGTCCCGATGCCTTTGAACCAACTCAATGAGCGGTCTTTCAAGATGTATTTCTATACAATCAAAAGGCTTTGTCAGAAAATCCTTCGTTTACTCACTAGCTGGTAATTTTTCAGATTTCTCACAAAACTTATTGCTGAACTCAGAACTGATGGCTGGTTGAATTAAAGATCGCATCTATGATATAACCGAAACCTTCGATCGGACTTACCGGCATTCCTCTAACTTGCAGTGTCTAAACTATCACCAGGCATACACAATATATAATTCACTTTGGTGTACATAATTACGTCAGTGTACAGAACCTACCTCCTCTGAACGTTTCTGTAGGTCCATGCAGAAAATCAGGCGGTTCATTGCTTCATTTTGATCTTCCAATGAAATAACACCGAATCCAGAAAATGATTTTAAACAAACTTTTCATTAGTTCTCCAATCTAACAAATTTACACAGCTCGTATAACAACAAAACCGTCCACTGCTTGCGAGATTAACAAAAATGTTTAAGCAAAACGTAAGCAGTTAAAGTATATATACGTTTTGACTCGGGCGCTCGAATTACGCCACGAAGTGTGGCTAGCAAAGCCAATTCAAATATATTTAGAAGCTAGGCAAACGTAGTATTGAATTCAGCGGTTGTTGCCAAAATCTCCCTCTTAAAATCAGGAATTCTGTGCTTATATGTGTTAATTAACTTAAGTTCTCTTAGAAGCCGACGAAAATAGAAGCAGCTGTAAAGGTAAAATGACAAGTTGTTAATAAAGATGAAGTTCTATAAGCATAAAAAGATAATGTCAAATTATTATTTTTCGTAAAGTGTGTAAAAACGTGTAGTTTATTCTATCGAACTAGAAAAATAGGATAAGTAGTACAGTATTTTTAACGAAAGGATACAGTATTTTTAACGAAAAGAAATTTGATAAAAAAAAACTTTATTGGCTGTTCATAGTTAAATATAGAAACATAAACGGATTTAGAAAGAATTTCAAGCAAGATATAACAACTTAAATAACTCTAAATGCTTTATCTTTTTCACTGTACCTTGATGCATCATTTACTGATTCCAAGAAAGAACTATTTGCTTTTGCACTCTGGACGCCGCCTGTACTCAAGTCACTTCTAGTACAATTCATCTTTAGACAAACAAATGAAAAAAAATGAATACTTTTTTAACTTAAATGATAATAAAAGTATATTAACTGAAACCTCTTTTCTCCTAGTTTTATCATTCTGTTCAAATAGTTAATTTGTAGCTTAAGCTAAATTGTAAAACGTGCATCTTTAATCGTATTCTTACTAATTGACATGATTTGCTCTATTGCTCCGGAAATGTTTCTTCTGATTTTGTCTGTCAGTGGTTTATACTACTGGCGAGAGAACTGACATAGTGGTTAGGTTAGATTATGTTCTAATAAGAGGGCTATCTGCCTAAGTGAAAGAAGTGGAGGACGTTCTGAGGAAAACTGCCTCCTATTCACATTACACATTGGAAAAACCAAGCGTGCAGATAACCTGTGCGCCTGAGCTGAAACCCAAAGCATGTCAAACTACCAATATTCAGCGGTCTTAACCACCAGTGGGGCCTGACGTGTGGAAGCTTTCCGTACATTTTTCGGTAGATTTATTTACAAATTTGTAAATAAACGCTCAAAGCTGATTCTCTGAGTTTTTGATCAACTGAAATACTTTTTTTCACTCCTAGTGCAGCTATTTCATAAAGAAACATACGGCATTCAGCAATTTATTACAAAAATTATTCTTTTTTATATACTTACTTAAAAGTGCTATGGAAAACTTAAAGTCAGAAAGAAAGTCCTTATCTGGCCTGTAAGAAAAAGAAGGAATCATTCCAAATATTTCAGTATCCGGATTGGTTCTTAATCTGGATATACAAAATTCTCTCCTAAACGTTCAAACTAGTTGACACCACATCCTGAAAATTTTGAAGTCCAGATATTTTCGGTTTAGTATTTGCTGATGGATATTTAGAACATGATGGCTAATCTAAACTGCATTTTAGTAATCTATCCAGACAATATAAAATGCGATTTACATCCTTTCCCAAACAATGAGAAATAATGTCCAGGAAAAGTTTAAAGAAGAAAGCAGAAGAAAACGAAAAATATTATTGAAATAGTTCTTTCTTCTTCAGTAGCATTCAAATGAAAACTTGGAAATTTACATCGGAAATTTTGATTAAAAATGCTAAAGTAATCATACGTTTGTCTACAAAATGAAAATCCTCCTTCGGCTTCTAAAACGCAAACAATAAAATTGCTGATTTCAGTTTCCCAATCTGCCAAAGTAAAGACATCAACTCAGCTTTTAAAGAGCATCATTACTTTGAAGATGAAAGAGCATCATTATTTTGCCTTCAATACTTTGGTCTCATGTTAGCATTCTTGTTTGCTTACATTTTTGGAAGTAAAAATAATTACTTTAAATTGTGCTCCTCCTTTTTCATTTTGCTCGTTTCAAAAACATTTTCAAACATTTCATTTATTGCCCGTTTATTCATTTTCTCTGAAATGGCTCACGTCACACAAGATATGACGACAAACCTACAGGGCTTATACATTTGTAGAGATATAAATTATAGCTGTGTATAAATTGTATAAATATATAAATTAAAGTTTAAATTTTAATCAAGTTTCCTCTCTTCTTCTCTCCGAAAATTAAGTTTTACTATTTGTCGTTAGTCTCCAAGCTCATGCTGCATAGTTGAATGACGTTGTGTGCTATGGGGTCGTAACAGACTGAATGCACACAGATCCGATGATAGGTTATAAG